CATCCATAATTTTATACATAAATCAAAAACTCTTCAATAGAAACCAAACACTCTTCTACACATTTGCAACATTTTTGTACATGCACACATCCAACATTTGTACCAGCATCCATCATTCTTGTACCTACATTCATCAGAATAGTGGTCATAATAGACTAACGAAGTACAGTACTGACATTCAGAATGCAAAAGGTTCTATCCTTCGACACGCCTTGGTCGTGATCTACATTAACAGCAGTGATGAAAATATCGAGCCACATACACAAGTTTGCGGACGGCAGGAAGATAAATGGAAAGAGGCAACTCAGGATGATGTTGCAACTGCAAAAGATCAGTACGAACTTTTGAAACGGTCGCAAGACTGGAAAAGGCTTTCTTTTACCATAGAAAAAAATTGCAAACAGGGAATAATAAACCAAAGCAAGACTACTCAGAGAATAATACTTTTTGAAACTGTAGATAAGTAAAAAGAACAATCACTGAAAACAGCGTAACAAGTGGTGGCAGCAGTAAAGAAAACAATCAAACTCTAGGCATACGTTGTACCTTTGAATATGATAACAAAACCCGATCATTCAATTTAATAAAATTGTGTACGTTTCCATCTGGATTACTGTATACAGACATGGAAATTATACCTTTAAAAAAGACATAACATTACAGGTAAACTGTTAAAGGTTCCACGCAAAGAAACTAGGATTATTACGGAACTAAATAGTCTCATTTATCCAAGCAGACTGAGAGACTTAGATTATCATCTCTTCGGTCAAGACACGACAAGGAGAACCTCACAGCAACGTTAAAAATCTTGAAAGGGCTGGAAGACATAAAAGCAGATGAATTTTTCGAGATGTCACCCACACCAACACAAAGAGAACACAACTTCAAGCTCACTAAGATGTTATGCAGAACGAATATAAGGAGAACTTCACACAAAGGCTGGTCGTCCAATGGAACAGTCTACAGCTGAATATGTGGATGCAAAACAGTAGTGGACTTCAAAATACCCCTTTGACAAGACTATCAAGAACAATGGAGGATCTTACACAAGCAACTGACTTCCTTCCCTCGACAGGCCACTCCAAGTTGGGGGTGGCCGTTAGAGAAAAAATGGAAGAACAGGTAAACATCTAATACACTTGTACACACATCCATCTCATTTGTGTACATCCGCCATTCTTGTATGCGCATCCACCACTCTTGTACGCACTTCCACCACTCTTGTACGCAATGCACCACTCTTGTACGTGCATCCACCACTCTCGTACGCGCATTCACCACTTTTGTGCACTTCCACCACTCTTGTACACGCAGCCACTACTTGTACCCACACCACCACTCGTGTACGCACATTCACCACTTGTACACGCATCCACCACTCTTGTACGCGCATTCACCACTCTTGTATGCACATCCACCACTCTTGTACGCGCAGCCACCACTTGCACCCACACCCACCACTCGTGTACGCACATTCACCATTTTGTACACGCATTCACCTTTGTACACGCAATCACCACTCTTGTACGCACATTCACCACTCTTGTACGCGCAGCCACCACTCTTGTACCCACACCCACCCTCGTGTATGCACATTCACCACTCTTGTACACGCATTCACCACTCTTGTACGCGCATTCACCACTCTTGTAGCGCAGCTACCACTCTTGTACCCACACCCAACCACTCGTGTCGCACCTTCACCACTCTTGTACGCGCATTCACCACTCTTTACGCATTCACCACTTTTGTATGCGCATTCACCACTCTTGTACCCACCCACCACTCGTGTACGCACATTCACCACTCTTGTACGCGCATTCACCACTCTTATAAGCGCATTCACCACTCTTATAAGCGCATCCACCACTCGTGTACGCACATTCACCACTCTTGTACGTACATTCACCACTCTTGTACGCTCATCCACCACTCTTGTATTTGCATCCACCACTCTTGTACGCGCATTCACCACTCTTGTACGCGCATTCACCACTTTGTTCGTGCATCCACCACTCTTGCATTCGCATCCACCACTTTGTACGCTCATCCACCACTCTGCATTTGCATCCACCACTCTTGTACGCGCATTCACCCTTGTACGCGCATTCACCACTTTGTACGATGCATCCACCACTCTTGTATGCCCATTCACCCTCTTATAGCTCATCCACCACTCTTGCATTTGCATCCAATCTTGTACGCGCATTCAACTCTTGTAGCGCATTCACCACTCTTGCGCGTATCCACCACTTTTGTACGCTCATCCCCACTCTTGCATTTGCATCACCACTCTTGCATTTGCATCCACCACTCTTGTACGCATTCACCACTCTTGTACGCGCATCCAACTCTTGTACATCCACCATTCTTGTACGCGCATCCACCCAGTACGTGCATCCACTACTCTTGTACGCGCACACATCAACTACTGTTACAATGTTTTTGTTACAGAAATCGGTTGGGTTAGGTTAGTTTAGGATAGGATGGACTCGTGTGGGTTATACACAGTTAAGTCCTGTTCTCTTTTTGGTTAGCCTGTTTGTTAGTTATTTTGCAAAAATACCAGTATGCATGTCGGTAATTTTGCAAAATAACCGATTCTAAAAAACAAAAACTAAATACAAACAAACTCAGGTAAGGTGTCAGTGAGCACTGTATATAAACAATAAAATAAATTTTGCTGGAATTGGAAGAACTATAAATAGCTGACCAATAAAACACGTGACTGGGGACATCGTACCTCGAGACAGATGGTGTGAAAATTTCAAGTTAGTGATGCTATAAACCTGCAATGAAAATGACGTCATCATATTCGTGAGCTGAACATAAGGAAAAAAAATGAATTAAAATGAATAAATGAACTTAAACGAGGAGAAAACTAAACTGATGCACTGCAAAGCCCAGATGATGGAATGACTGGAATTGTGTAAACAAACAAAAAAATGAATATGGAAGGATAAATTCTTCAACGATATTCAGAAGAATGAAGTATTACCGGTTTTTTATTTTATTTTATTTTATTTTTATACATATATTTTTACGTGGATAATACCAGGTACAGGTCACCGACCCACAACGGGGGTGGGGGCGAAAACAGAAGAGTAAAATTAAAAATAGAAAAAATTATATTAAACTACACCACAAAAATGCAGAAAACCAGCTTTGAAATTGGGACAGATGTATGAATATGGAAACAGAAGGCAGAGTAAGTATTCCCTGGTTTAGCTGTGTGAGGAGAAAAATACTATAACGGGTTATTCTTTGACCGACATCCACAGAGAAATTGGGCACCGGAACAAGACAGTGTTAAAGCCCACGGCCTTGCCGGCAGTACACAGGATGCCAAATCCACCGAACATTGCCGTTAAAGTACCTGTAAAAACAACATTGCGACGAAGATTTATCAACTAAGGAAGAAGTTAATAAGACGAAATGCTACCGATAAAGTAGTACTCCAAGTTAGGGCGAATAAATCCTTTATATACAAAGCAACTGCTCAGGGTGAAGTAACCATGGCATCTGCACAGCATTCCCAGCTTTCGGGAGGCAGCTTAGCAATGTTGCTGATGTACGTATGGCTTCATGACATATTAAATGGTGAGGCCTCGGATATCAAAATCGAAGAAAGGCGATTTAATTTAAAGTTTGTGGATAACAGAGGTAAAACACTAACTTCGGTTGTGTCTAAAGTTTTCAGTTTCTTTAAACAGGACTCAGGAGAGCCTTGATGAAACATTTCGCGATGAACAAGGCGGGTTCAAAAACGGAGTACAGGAACAATGCAAGTTTCAACATCTTCACATTTATATATCAGAATTTATAAGGCTTCAAGTGGTTTCATTTGTTGTGGACACCCTGTACAGTATACAGTATTATTAACACAAGAATGTTAATGTAAATGAGTCTAGATGCGTCATAAATATTATAAGTGTTAGGTGCATAATGAAAGTTCACGTTATGGTTTAATGTACTGATTTCATTATCTATCATGTTTTTAGCGGAACATGCAAGCGATCATATTAGATATTAATTTAATTCTTTTCAGTACTAATAATAAACAAAGTATTTTACACAATCTTCTTTTGATCAGTCATCGTTTTCTTGTTAAGTAATTCTTTCTCATTAACAACCATAACTAGGTAATAATGTCGTTCTCAGGTAAGTCAACCACCTTGCTTCTCTCAAAAGTAATTCAAACCCTCTTGTTCTCCAGATAATCCTCTCGAATGTGGTTTGCGATATTGCTTGGATTATACTCAACACCGATTACCTCAACCTCGTAAATAGAGGACTACCTGCAGTAGCGGAGGCGTCTGGTGGACCCAGAACCTGAAATCTTCAAAATAATTGCAACTAATTGGGTTGTTGGTGGTGGGTCCTGTTGGTACTTATATGATCATCGAACAGCTACTCTTTCACTACCATCATACCTCTGGACACCTGTAAGTGAAGCAAAGTTCGGTCAGTTGGACTCTTCAGGACTAAAGTTGTCACCCATCATTCAGTGTTGAAGCCGTATATCAACCGAAATATCGATTCGTATGAAGACTTATTTAAACATATGCCTTCTCTCCGGGCTGCCACCTCAACATGTACAGTCCCTTCACTAGTGCGTTTACAGGGGGTTAGTCATATAAACATTCACAAATCATACCAGACATTTGTTTTAATATTGTTTTATTTTAATTCCATAGTATGTTTACTATTGCGAGTTTCCTTCTGTCGAATGCAAACAAATACAGGGTGCCACACTGCACAAACCTGCAGAGACCCTCTAAACGCACTAGTGAAGGATTGTACAGTACCCCAACTCATCAAGGAATGACTGAAGCCACCCTGTTGCCAGCAGGTGAAGGAACGAATACGACACCACCGAGTTGACTCGCCGACACTGCACTTCAGCTGCACCATTCTGACTCACCATTACAATACAACTTTATTTTCGGAACTATTGCCGTTTTTGTTTTATTAGTGATAGAGAACTTCAGTGTTGCTGATAATATAGTAAAATGACGACACAAACACCATCGTTACTACCCTTTACTATGTCAATAAAACATGTTAATGCTGCTAATGCATCACCACCTGAACCTCAACACAACACAGTCAAGAGTCATACAGCTGTGATGGTCCACCACATTAACATCTCCTGAGGCAGTCCTACTGTTGTTGTCCTGGTTGTTGGTGGTCAGTGTATTGTTGGTGGTCAGTTTGGTGGTATATGGTTGTTGGTGGTCAGTGTGGTTGTTGGTGTCAGTTGTGGTTGGTGGTGTCAGTGTGGTGGTTGGTGGTCAGTGTGGTTGTTGGTGGTCAGTGTGGTTAGTTGTCGGTATGGTTGTTTTGGTGGTCAGTGTGGTTGTTGGTGGTCAGTGTAGTTGGTGGTCGATGTGGTTGATGTTGTGGTCAGTGTGGTGGTTGGTGGTCAGTGTGGTGGTTGGTGGTCAGTGTAGTTGTTGGTGGTCGGTGTAGTTGTTGGTGGTCAGTGTGGTTGTTGGTGGTCAGTGTGGTAGTTGGTGGTCAGTGTGGTTGTTGGTGGTCAGTGTGGTTGTTGGTGGTCAGTGTGAGTTGTTGGTGGTCAGTTTGGTTGTTGGTGGTCAGTGTAGTTGGTGGTCAGTATGGTTGTTGGTGGTCAGTATGGTGGTTGGTGGTCAGTGTGGTGGTTGGTGGTCAGTGTAGTTGGTGGTCAGTGTAGTTGTTGGTCAGAGTATGGTTGTTGGTGGTCAGTATGGTTGTTGGTGGTCAGTGTAGTTGTTGGTCAGTATGGTTGTTGGTGGTCAGTATGGTTGTTGGTGGTCAGTATGGTTGTTGGTGGTCAGTGTGGTGGTTGGTGGTCAGTGTGGTTGTTGGTGGTCAGTGTAGTTGGTGGTGGTCAGTGTAGTTGTTGGTCAATGGTTGTTGGTGGTCAGTATGGTTGTTGGTGGTCAGTATGGTTGTTGTGGTCAGTGTAGTTGTTGTGTCAGTATGGTTGTTGGTGGTCAGTATGGTTGTTGGTGGTCAGTATGGTTGTTGGTGGTCAGTGTGGTGGTTGGTCAGTATGGTTGTTGGTGGTCAGTGGTGGTTGGTCAGTATGGTTGTTGGTGGTCAGTGTAGTTGGTGGTCAGTATGTTGTTGGTGGTCAGTATAGTTGGTGGTCAGTTGTTGTTGGTCAGTATGGTGGTTGGTGGTCAGTGTGGTTGTTGGTGGTCAGTGAGTTGGTGGTCAGTGTAGTTGTTGGTCAGTATGGTTGTTGGTGGTCAGTGTGGTTGTTGTGGTCAGTATGGTTGTTGGTGGTCAGTATGGTTGTTGGTGGTCAGTATGGTTGTTGGTGGTCAGTGTAGTTGTTGGTGGTCAGTGTAGTTGTTGGTGGTCAGTGTGGTTGTTGGTGGTCAGTGTGGTTGGTGGTCAGTGTGGTTGTTGGTGGTCAGTGTGGTTGTTGGTGGTCAGTGTGGTTATTGGTGGTCAGTGTGGTTGTTGGTGGTCAGTGTGGTTGTTGGTGGTCAGTGTGGTTGTTGGTGGTCAGTGTGGTTGTTGGTGGTCAGTTGGTTGTTGGTGGTCAGTGTGGTTGTTGGTGGTCAGCGTGGTTGCTGGTGGTCAGTGTGGTTGCTGGTGGTCAGTGTGGTTGCTGGTGGTCGTGGTTGCTGGTGGTTGTGATTGCTGGTGGTCGTGGTTTGTTGGTAGTGGTTGTTGATGGTCAATGTTGTTGATGGTGGTGGTTGTTGGAGCGTAATACACAGCGGAGGCGGTGGTCTCCTAGCCTAGAGATGTTGAAAGATGTGTCTTGAATAAAGACAAAATTAAGGTGCTTCTCTCCCATGAAAACAATGTGGCGTAAAGTCTGGACACAAAACTCCGTAAACTTTGAGGACAAACAAATCTCCTCTGGGCCTTGAGGCCTTATCAGTGTTTAAAACGTCTGTTATCAAATTTTACTTTTGATACAAGTTTGATAACCAAAATTTAAGGCACCTCCAGATCAGGTGATAAGCCACCCGCTCTTCCTCCTGCAAGGTTGAATGAATATCTGGTGAGGTAGAAAGGCAGAACAACTGAATTGACTGATGACACTACAGTGGGTCATTACCTCTACCTGATAGTACGCACCCTGGTGAATGTAAAGGCCATCACCGAATTGCCTGATTTTAACAGGAACGGACTGCTGGACATTACCAAATTTGGACCATTCAGGTTAAAATTAAACCTAATGGCGTGTTTCATTTACTGATGTGTAACGGATTTACATTATATATAAGGTGGCAACCGATATTTGTACTCAATAAATTATATTCAGGAATTCTTTGATCTAGGAAAAGTGCTTAGGTTTGGAAATCAGCCAACGTCACAAGTTAGCAGGAAGAGAAAAAGTACAGCAGAAAACTACAGGCCTAGCATCCATAAATGAAACTCTGAGAAAAATTCTGAGGATACCATCTTCAGACACCTGACAGCACAGTCTTATCAAAGCATCACAGTATGTTTTAAGGGCAAAATTCTGCTTTTATTCAGAAATAAATGTGAAGATATTTAGCATCTGGTTATTATTAAGTTTCCAGTGCCATTTCAGGAGTTTGACGATGTAAACAAACACAGTGTTGCTGCCATCTCATAACGCGCCAACCACTGTAACAGGTGGAACTGTGGCCGACAGTGCGTCCCAGTCTGGATCACTGCATACAGGCGGAAACCTCTCCAGAAAGACTTAACATACCTAAAGGTGCAACACAGGCGAATAAGATGATTCGGAACACTATGTCATCTCCATTATCCGTAGATTCAGACCGTACAGCAAGAGCAGATTTCCTGAAGCATTCAAACCTGAAAGGATTAAACGTGAACCCGTCCATAACTATAAACTCTCACAAGCGATCATGCAGAACGAACATAAGAAAATACAATTTCACACAGAAGGTGATAGACCAATGGGACGGTCTAACCCTAGTTGTGGAATCAACCAATAACAGTATTGAGCCTTAAAATAACAGGACTATCAAGGACCACGGAGATCATATACAGGCCATTGGCCTCCTTCTCCAGCATGGGTGGCCATTAGGTAACAATGTTAATATCCGTTAAAGAAGTGCAATTAACGATGTGGAACCATTCTGGTCAATAATAATGAAAACAAATAATAATAAATAATAAAAATAAAACAAATACAATTATTATTATTATTCAGTAGAATTGTCATACATGTTTACAATTGGATAAGCATGTTTATAAACTATACAGTTCATCATGATTATAGACATTATAGGTATACCTTTCGTAGGCCGTGGAGTATAATGTACAGTTTCCTGTATGCCGACTCAGGCCGGGTAAACAACAATGGTAAACAGTAAGGCAACTTGACCGAGGATAGCCGACAAGTTCGACAAGGCTGTCAGGTGTATATTTCCAGGAGCCATTAACCAAAGTTAACTTCTTTATATAAACACAATTTATATAGAGGCTAAAACAAGGCAAAATGTACAGTAATTAAAGACACTATTATAGTATCATATTGATTAAAATATTATTTCAGTCTTGCATAGTTATCCTTTCAACAATTATGGCTCTCTTTGAAGAATTACCATTTTATGAAAACGTAATATAATGGTACTTAATATAAGTGTATAACCATATACTAATTCATTTCTGTACTAAATGTGTTTTATTTCTCTAATTTTAGTATTGGGGAGGAGACGGCTAGCAACCAAATAACTTTATAGAATTGCACGAAAATTTTGAGATGTTATTTGTATGACATTAAAGAAGAAAAATGAAAACGACAATGCACAGAACCTAACAGAACCTGACCTAACGGACCCAACCGAACCCTTCGGAATATTGAGCAGAAAGAACTTACTTTGATATCAGGTACTAATGAACCACTTTTAATGAAATAACATGGTGTAATATTACGTCTTTTGTGGACGTAAGAGTACGATCAGTTGTTGCACTGAAAGACGTATTTCTTCTTCACTGTCAGTTCTCACCACATTTTGAACACTTGCACGTCCTGCCAACTAGTTCATGCTGACAGATGAACTCTTGTATAATGACCACGGTCGTCACGTCAGTTAACGTAAAATCAGACGATTCATATTACGCTCAATAGCCCACAAACCTGTAGCTATGCCTTCTTTATTGAGTCTCCCATCTGAGGCGTCCGTTTTCATCGCTCCCAAGCGTGTGCCATCCATTTTCTCTGATTTAAACCAACCTCTCTATAAAGTGAATTTGAATATGAGAGAGGACACCATTGTTTTGAGTCAACTTAGAGATGTCTGATTACAGTTAAAGCAAGATCTTTGTGAGTGATGTTTGAAAGCTTTAACTGTCTTTATTGTTAGTAACACTTGTTAAGTAAGTGAGTGTTGAGTCTGCAGTACGAATGGCATCCCATGATATTGTCCCTGGGGATAGCCATGAATTTCCAATTGCTCCGGAAGTTAGATTATTTTGATGCCCAAACATCAGAGAATCTGATGTTTGTAGTTTAGTTAGTGTCAGTTATCTATTTAAGAAAGTTATTAATCTCCTGAACTATTCTGTCAACCTGTATAATCGCCAAAATCTAACATATCCCTGTGAATAGTTCCTTGTTCGCAGCCG